ATCGATTATTCTCTTCACATTCGATTGCGATTGGTCCATTTCTTGCGGTTTAAGACTTACTACACCTATTGTGTTTTAGGACTAAAAGCGACGTCTACAATGAGACTTAAGATTTAAGAAAATTAACCAATTACAATTGATTATTCTTCTCACGTGAGGTGAATAATTGACTATAATTGGTCAATTTTCTTAAATCTTAAGTCTTAAGTCTCATTGTAGACGACGCTTAAGGTCCATCTACAATGAGAGGAGTAAATCGTAAGCCGTAAAAAATTCACCAATCACAGTCGAATATGAGAAGAATAATTGATTGCGATTGGTAAATTTCTTACGGCTTACGACTTACTGCTCCCATTGTAGATGGACCTTTTAGTGTCGGTCTATAATAAGGATTTTAAGTCCTAAGTAGTAAGAAATAGACTAAACGTAGTCGAATATGAGAAAAATAATCGATTGTAATTGGTCAATATCTTACAGTGTAAGATTTAAAATTCTTATTGTGCACCGACACTAAAGCGACGTCTACAATAAGATTTTAAGGCGTAAAACTTAAGCTTTATAAAGCCTTAAACTGTAAAAAATTGACCAATCATGATTAATTATTCTTCTCACATTCGACTGTGATTGATTAATTTTTTACGGCTTAAGGCTTAAGCTTTAATTTTACGCTTTAAAATCTTATTGTAGGCAATGCTTAAAGCGGCGTCTACAATGAGATTTAAGACTTAAGATTTAAGAAAGTTGATCAATTACAATCGATTATTCTTCTTACATGAGACGAATAATCGATTATGATTGGTCAATTTTCTTAAATCTTAAGTCTTAACTCTCATTGTAAACGTTTAACCTGAGAAGAAAACAGCAATGAGATATGCTTGATTGGTCATTTGATTATTTTATTGTGAAATCAGTGAAATACGCCTCGAAGAAAAACCGTGATCGATATCGCTCGAGTTAAAAAGAAATTTGTATTTTACACACATTTTCCAACAGAAATTTATATCACATGTTTTCGAACGAGCTATAAAATGCGTTTTGCTTAAGCAAATATTTAGCTTGAATTTAATTTCTAGCCGAAAGTTTCTTAACGTTTTATATCAATATATATTTTCTGTTAATTAAATCTCTTTTTTTACTGAAAATCGAATGTTTGCAATAGAATCCCGCTTGATGGACGACTAAAAGTTGACTTTCACCCTTCGTTTGCCCACGCCTTGCTTTCCGTGCTCACTTCAGAGGGGAGAAAATCGACGCATTAAATTTTTACGTTGCCGCCGCGCGCCGTGGAAACCGCGAGAGCAAAAAGGAATCGTGTTTCACGGATTACAGTGACTATACCGCCCGGAGACTAATTAACGTTGTGAAGCATTATGACGCCAATCGTCAATTGTTACCATGGAACCGTTAAAAGCTTGCGATTCGATCGTGCCGTGTTTCATTTCGCGATTCTCAATTTACTTGTCGTTGAGCAATTCCGACCGCAGAAGAGAGATGAAGCGGTATAAAACGGTGTGTGTGTGTGTGTGTGTGTGTGTGTGTACAATCTCTCAATTTTCCTCTGCGAAGCGCGTCGATCGTAACAAGTCGTGCGTAGTTACAGTAATTCGTTACAGTAACCTAACTACGATATATTTCTACGTACATGTTTAATTAAGTTGCCATTATAACGTTTACGCCATTATGATTTTGTTTTGTAAGTAATGACGTAAGTAAGTAATGACGGGCTTAGGTATTCCATTATTGATATTTCGGAAAGACCTTCGAGGGACAGACAAATAGCTTTGGCACAGTTGAAAAAATTTTTAATTGCTAGAGCGTATTTGTGACAAAAACCCAATTACCGTTTATTTTATTTGCAGTTTATTTATTTTATTCGATGCAATAATTTTAAATTTAAATTCGTCGAGAATCGAATTAACGATTAATTCACTCTTTCTTCCTTTTGGAACATTCTAACGTTACACAATGCATCTAAAGTTTGCATTCGCCTGTTTGATTTACCTTTCATGATTATTATTGGCAATTTTTTCCACCTCAAACAAGCGAAATTCCATTAAGGCAGAAAAGAAATTCAAGCGAGGGATTGCGCAATCGCATAATTCTCATCGAGATTACAACTAATATTTGCGAGTTCGATTATGATGCTTCTTTTACTTTTGTGTGGGTTCGTATTTACTGCACAATTCATATAATTCTAAAAATATTGTTATAAAATAAATATATTTGTATAATATATATCATATATGTAATACAATATCATACCGAATGCGTGGACCTCTCATCAAATTCAGCGAAATGTAAACGTGATATGAACGATACATTTTTCCCAAGCAAGAATCTTTGAATAGTGACGACTATACACAATTTCGCTGCAACGTGCACGCGGAAGCGCGTCTTGCTCTCGTATCGAGGTACTCGTGCACCGCGAACCGAAACGCGAACGTGAATTTTCAAGCAGTAGAGACTTCGTGAAAAATAGAAATTCATCCGGATGGGATCGGCTATATGTTATGACAAGGGGGAAAAAAACAGCAAACGGGGCGCGCTCGTTTGCAAAGAAGATCCTGCTTCCGTTCTCGATACGTTTAATTCTCAAGTGATAACATCCATGTATAACAGAGATAAGTATATCATGTATCTCTTTTAGAAATTCTGTTGATATTATTCCTCCGAAATATCCATTTTCTTTATGCTACGTTTCCATTGCGATAACAAATTCATTGACGCTTTAAAGCAAACGTGTGCATTATTCATTTTTTTTTTATAGAAAGAGATAAGTTATGTATTTGTGAAAGAGCTTATAATATTCCACAATGTAATATTATAATTCATTAATTATAATTTATAATTATATTTTTATAATAATATTAATATTAGTAAAGAATATAATAAATAATATTTGTTTATTATAATTGTATTATAATTATAATAATTTTTATTATAATTATATTGCAATTGTAATAATTTTTATTATTATAATTTAATGCATAATATTCCTATTAAGAAGTTATAATAGATGAATATGCAGATGTAATACTTGATATTTTTTTGTTCAAAATTATACAAGTTACTTTTGGCACCAGATTAGACGTTTATTCGACTTTCTGGCACTTCTTAGAGAAGCGAGAGAATGCAACGGATCGTAAAATAAATGCCAACGATTAATTGTGTACGTTCTTGGCGTTACCAGAATAAAAATGACTGTAAAAATAATTGCGTAAATATATCGGAAGGTGATAAAACGGCTATTGAATAACTTAATTAATGATAAGATACATTTTTTTCAGTAAAAAGATATATAATTTTATCAATAAAATGCAAAGGTTATCGGTTCCTTTTTAACACAGTTAATACATGAAAAGTAAATTCGCTTCTTTTCTTTCTCTGAATCTGCGAGACGCATTGAAATAATCTCAGCGCGGTGAAATGTACGAGAGATTATATTCTGCATATCTCACCGAACTGGTAGAAAGGATAATCTAAAAAGTGAAATTGGGGAAAATAACTCCCGCATTTCGTCGTACGATCGTTCGAGAGGCGAAGAGTGGACGGCCGCGCAATTCCCTCGGCGTTTATGGAAAATCGTCGAGAAACCGTTAAAACCGGCCAGAAGTGGGATGAATGAGAGTAGTTTTACGCTAAGCGGGTCTAGATCAAGGTGAAGCACTTGTTTCTTAGTGATCAGGAGAGAAAGATCGTGCAACGCGCGCGCATATACGCATCGGGATGGTTCGGGAAATACATGCACCTTCTACATACCGGACTCGCGTAACCGGTAGAATTACTAAAAAGAGATCACTGCTCCCGGCGATATCGATAGCACGTTCTCCATTCGTTTATGCGTAGAAAGCAGGGCTGGGCATATTTCAAATACTTGTTTTGAAATATACAATTTGCAATGTATTTTGTATTTTGTATTTCAGCGGAGCACATAAAAGTATTTTGTATTTAAAATACTAAAGAAATTATTGATAAAAATCCTTGACAACAGTTAATATAGTAACTTAAGTTTTACTCATATGGCAATTAGCGACACTAACTATTTTTTCGTCGTCAAGTTTCAAGCAATATCAAGTCGTCAGAGGCAAATTTCATAATCTCACAATAAGTAAATAGATTTTTCGTGCGGTTGGGACAGTATTTTGTATTCTGCATTTCAGCGGAGCACATAATTAATATTTTGTATTTTGTATTTCAAATACAATTTCAATCTATTTTGTATTTAAAATACTAAAGAAATTATTGATAAAAATCCTTGACAACAATTAATAGTAACTTAAATTTTTCTCATATGACAATTAGCGATACTGTAACTATTTTCGTTTCAAGTTTCAACCAATGTCAAGTCATGAGAGTCAAAATTCATAATCTCACAATAAGTAAATAGATTTTTCGTGCGGTTGGTACAGAACAATAGGACTGTTAAAAAGCGTAAGAGAATAAAACAACTTTTCTTTCTCTCTCTAAAAGTGAAGAGGGGGTACTGTTGGGGGGGGGGGTAACATTATATATTAACATTATATTAACATTATATATCGTAATTAGAAGATTAAATTGAAAAGTATTTGTATTTTAAATAAAAACTTAAAAGTATTTTTTGTATAATATTTCAAATCGAAAAATTGGAAGTATTTTATATTTTGTAATTCAAATACTAAAATTGCCAGTATTTTAAATACTTTAATGATGTATTTTGCTCAACCTTGATAGAAAGTATACCATGGCATAGATGTATAGTTTTAAAGTATTCACCATAGTAAAAAAAAACTGTAGAAAATCCAATTTGTGATCCGCTAGATTTCCGATAAATTAAAGATTATGAAGATCGAGATAAACGATATTCGATTGTATAAAATTAATATATAAGTATGACGAACTACGGTTATAACTGTATATCGTTTTATAACTGTATGTAGGTGTCGTGTGCAATCTTTCGTCTTTCTCTCTCGCTAACGCTATTTATTTTTTGATCTATCAGCACTTGTGGCACTCTCTTACAGGTAACGGTACGCCAGATGTTTATAAGATACTTGGCGGTGCCAGAACGCGCCAAGCGGACTACGATTATTCATATGTGCATAATGATATAAATGAAAATCAAGAGGATCTGTACGTCAGTCACAGCGGTGACCCGTGGAGCGCTTCCTCAGCGCGTATTCACGGCAAGGATGTCTACATGCGCGTGTCGCCGAGCAACGCGACGGCGAACAACACGAAGGCTCAATCTGCGTAAGTCGGACGTACCTACCTGCGAACGGAAACGTTTGTTAACCCTTAGCTGCCACTGTGGATATGGCATGCCGGACGATTCCTTTTACTTTATATGCTAACTTTCTTATTAAGACGATGCTGGAAGGTCGGAATTACCGACATTACAGTTATATGAATATCGAATTAATTGAACGAAACTGAAAATATTTTCACATGATTGAAATATACATGAAATGTGGGATGAAGGAATTTGTAGTAAAAACAAAAAAAATTTTTTAATTATTTTCTTTTTTTTTTCGTTTTTACTACAAATTCCTTCGTCCCACATTTCATGTCTATTTTAATCCTGTAAAAAAGATTTTCAGTTTCGTTCAATCAATTCGGAGATATTCATACAACTGTAATATCGGTAATTCCGACCTTCCAGCAGTATACCTAATAAGAATACATTTACTTGTTATTATTTTATTTATTAAAATTACGATTGATAAAAAGAACTTTCGAAATTAAAAAACAAGAATTAATACTAAGGCAATGAGAATTATACAGAGCGGTACTTAGTGCGCATTGTGTTTAAATAAATAATATATTTGAACTCGCAATTATTAAAATCTTTCACATTCTTCAAACGTTTCGAATCTCATTTTAGGCCATTTTCAGCAAAAAGATCCACTAACGAAAGAATATATGTTCTCAAATGCGGGTCAAGTCGTTACTTCGCTGCACCTGAATCAATCAACCTGTTATTTGACAGTAACGAGTCCAAATAAAACAAGGCCCGAGACAAGATAAAGGAATGTAGTCAGACGGAAAATCGCAGTCAAATTAAATTTATCGTTAAGATGTTGACACAATGGTTATCAAAAATATTTTTTTATTGATTAAAAATGACATTTTTTGTTTGAAAGAAAATTCATATCATTTTTATGCGATATTTTTACACCAAATACCCAGTGCTGTTCCTGTTACAAAATGTATAGTATGGCAGCAAAGAGTTAATTTGTAATGTGACAATTTATAATATCAGACTCCCAGAGAACATTAAGACGTTTAAAAGACATTTTAAAATTTTGAAAATGTTTTGTAAAGTTGCTAGAAAGATGTTTTTAATTTTATATCATTTTTAAATATATTGTGATAATTGCATAATAAAAATTAATGATACCGAAACACGTTGACAAGAAGAAAAATATGAAAGAAGAGTTACTGTTGCTTGAGAAATCAACATATAGATCATTTATATAACAAATAATGAGGGAGAAAATAGCTCCAAATTCGGTTGGATGTTGATTGCCTAATATTTTTAATTTTAAAATCTTTAAATTTCAATTAATCGTAAAGTGCGCGCCGCGCGATTACTGGTCTTTAATCGGCACACAGTTTACGATAGCTAAAATTTAAAAATTTTAAAATTTTTAATATTATTTTTCTACAACCATCTAGCTTTGACTGAATTTAAGGCTCTTTTTCTCTTCATTATTTATTGTACATACATATATCGGCTTTGTTTGAAATTGTTAAATAATTTAATATTTATATAAGTTTGATAATAATCTATCTATTACAACAGAGATCTATATCAGTCTTGTCATTAGAAGAGTTATGTATGTCATAGTAGTTAGTATACGTATTTAAATCATTGTTATATAAATTTATCAGGTTGATTTATTATTAATTTAATTATTTATTATATTTAATTCCAATTTCTTACGTTCTTTCCTTTGTTAACACATTTGCAAATAACTTTGCCTTAATTGTGTCATTGTAAATGATATAAAATATCATAGATATAAATGTCATAGTAGTTAGTATACGTATTTAAATCATTGTTATATAAATTTATCAGATTGATTTATTATTAATTTGGTTATTTATTATATTTAATTCCAATTTCTTATGTTCTTTCCTTTGTTAACACATTTGCAAATAACATTGCCTTAATTGTGTCATTGTAAATGATATAAAATATCGGAATGCCAGATTAACTGAATGTAAAAGTAAATATTGGCTACGTTATATCCAGATTGGCCATGTCATGTATTTTAATCGATAAATATTACAGTTAATAAAATGTAAATACATGCTCCAAGAAATGTTTTATAAGAAACAACTTTTAGACGTCTTTTCAAAAAGTCTTGAAGACGAATTTGAAATGTCTTTTGAGAAACAAACAATATAACGACAAGCTGGTCAATTTAAAAACAAGAAATAATAAAATTAGGCCAGACTAACGAGCATTAAAATGAAGATGTTTATAACAGCGTTTATTAAGGCGTTCCCTCCTACCTATAGTTTTTCATAACCGCGTATTTGACTATTAATTTTTATTCAGTTAGATTAGATTTAGATTTAGTGTGTTGTAGTATTAATAAACGCTGTCGTCTTCGTTTTAACGCTCGTCTGGCCTAATTTTATTATTTCTGATTCTTTTGATAACGTCTTAAAGACGTCTTAGAAAAGACATGTGTGCCGTTCGGATCGAGACGACATGAAGACCGTACGTGATTTCAGAACGAGCGGAAAGGAGACCACGGGCCATACGAGGTTCAAACGAGGAGTGATACATCTTTACAACATGGTAGTATGCGCCACGGGATGTAATCCTTTAGCTTACAAAGGATACGGTTGCTACTGCGGATTCTTGGGATCCGGTTATGTCATCGATGGTATCGACCAGTACGTTATTCACGTCTATATATTAGAAAGCATATACCATTTACATCTCGCGCGAGTTCTTCTTTACAAATAAATATCAATTGATAATATCAACGTAATACGTTTCAGATGTTGCAAGATGCACGACTGGTGCTACGACGCTACGGAATGCCTCAGTTCGGAATACTTCGTACCGTATTACTGGAAATGTTACGAAGGTTACAAGCCTATTTGCGGTTCGTTTATTGATTATTATTCGTTTGTTCTTTTTCTTACGAGCCAGCGCAATTTTTTTTGTAAATTCGGAAGACTAGAATAATTCCTTACAATTAAGGAAATATAGAGGAGAAGGTGATATTATTGGCCCTTATAGATATTTTCGCTATTAGATGCCGAATTTTACTAATTGACTATTTATGAAATAATTTATTTAGTAGTTTGCCATATAAACAATGGCGCTTATATGCCAATACATAATGGCTGGTATTTATTATAACGCATTTTTATTTTTGAACATTTCGAAATATTTTCAAGAAGCATTTTAATATTATACGTACTTTTCCTCATTTTTCTTAAACTTTTTGTGTGTTATAACTGTATGTTATAAACATATACACTTTCTTATCTGTACACATTTTTGAGAGTAGCATGGAGTCGAGTTAAACAATTGCATGACATTTTGCAAATGTAGTCCTCTAAGCATAATGCATTTAAATTCTTCAAAACATGAATATCTGAATGCATCCATGCAAGTAGGGAATCTGAACGCAACCCTGATATTAAAGCGTGTCTGAAATCTTTTTTTTTTTAATTTTGGAATAAATATTCGATAATTCGATTGTAGCTACTAATCTATAGTTCACATTACACGTATATACATACAGGGTGTCCCAAAATTCGCGAATCAAAATATCATAGCAAGAAAGTCTTCGAAAAATTAAGTAAAAAAGTTATTTGTAAATTTTTAATTTAAGCGTAGTCTTTGAGATATAAGAGTTTAAATTTAGCCAATTATAGATTACGATTAAACGGAAACATATCCGTGGAGCGCATCGTAGTGTTAGTGGTCGCGCACTTCACGCGAGTACTAATCTAGAATTGGCTAAATTTAAACCCATATATCTCAAAAACTATTGCTTAAAATAAAAATTTACAAATTTTTTACTTAATTTCTCGAAGACTCTCTTGCTATTTATGCTTGATATTTTGATTCGCGAATTTCGGGACACCCTGTGTATATACGATAGATTTTCAGTAGCCTATAAACAGAAGAAATTTATATGTGTACGTATACTTATACAATTTTATACATTCTGCAATATTGTGTGCGTTCATGAAGCACGCTATTAATGCTATTAATTCAATGTTCTGTCCTTATTTTACATTTAATGATAAAGCTAAAATGATACAGTAACGCTGATAGTGCGCTCCCCAAAACCATTGCAGTTTCTTTATAAATATATTTGTAACACAACACTGTGTTTTTTAAACAAAACAAATTTTTTTAGTATATTTTTGTAAGGGGCCATAGTATCACCTCTATTCTTCTTCGATCCATTTTGCAGTACCGCCACATTTTTATAAACAATATCCTATGTGATATATATTTTATAACTTTGAATCTAGAATCGATTAAATAACACTTTGACAAATGTAAGTTTTCAATTTAAAATATCAATTATTAACAAAATAACTGTACAAAATATAAATGGAGGACATAATATATTATCTTCTTCTTTACGTACTATATACCTTTTTTATAAATTAAAATTGACTTATTTATGCTATATGTAAATAACGTGACACAATGAATGAAATAATACAGTTTGTGAAATCTTTGTTACAGCGATTGAGCATGGCAGCTGGGGAGGATCGGGGTCTTGTGCTCAACGTTTGTGCGAATGCGATCGTTCGTTAGCCGAGTGTCTGCGAAGATATCCTTGTCCTACTACCAAAGCAGTTTGTACCTCGTCACCGTGGAGACTTGTACAGAATCTCTTCATGATTATATAAATTATGTATTTTAAAAATAGCATAGGCCACGTTTTGAAACATGAAAAAAATTTGCTTTACCTTGTAAGATTTAACTTTCGAGATGAAGATATATGCATCGTATAAAAAAAAACCTTATTCTTTCAAAGATAAAATTCGGATACCAAAGAAAGAGTACTGATTACTCTTAAAAAGGATACATCTTTAGAGATATGAAGATACATTACAATCATACATCGTTACTTATACTATATCGAGGAAATAGATGCAGAATAACAGTAAAAAAATTATATTGTGTATATATTTTACAATCGTAAATGCGAAATCATATTATGTTAATGTAGATATTATTTACATTTAACACATAAGTCAACAATTTTTTTTCTCCATTGTCTGAAACTTACAACGTACTTACACCTCCGGTTAAATATACCGTCCTATTCTTGTATTTCCTGGAAATATCTTGCTCTATCTGTAATTAGATACAATATTAAAAAATAGCAGAATGTTATTCCGAAACAACAATGCGAGCAGAGCTGGGCAAAATACATCATTAAAGTATTTGAAATACAAAATACAAAATACCGGCAATCTTAGTATTTGAATTACAAAATATAAAATGCTTTCAATCTATTGATTTGAGATACAAAATACTTTTAAGTTTTTATTTGAAATACAAAATACTTTTTAATTTAATCTTTCAATTACGATAATATATAATGTTAACCCTCCCCCCCCCCCTCCAACAGTTCTCTTTTCAATCAACCGCACGAGAAATCTATTTAGTAATGTGAAATTATAAAATTTGACTCTGATGACTTGATATTGCCAGAAACTTGACGAAAATAATTGGTATCGCTAATTGTCATATGAGAAAAATTGAAGTTACTTTAACTCTAGACTACCACACTATATTTGCCACCCAATCTGTCACACTGGGTAAAATTTACCCGACCTACCTATTTTGTTGCGTAACTTCGGTTCAAACGCATCGATTTAAAACTTTTTTTTTATCTATGCGCCAGACAGTAAGAAAGGTGACTGAATAGATAGTAACACTCAAAGATCTTAAAGACATGAACAATTTGCAAAAATCGGCTTTTATATCTTTTTCAAAAAAGGCTGGTTTTTCTTTTACATCGCAGTTCTTTTCAGAGACGAACAAAAAAAAGTAAAGCATAGTTTTTAAAAGAACACGAGTGGTATTTTCAAAAGAAAAATACCTCTTCAAAAATATGACTTCACTTTAAAAAACATTTATTTGACCGAGTAAACTTATAGACCGATTGTCGAACTTTACGCGTGGCTTGAATGGCAATACCAAGTGGAATGACGTGGCTTATGATGGAAGGTTGTAGAGGACACTTATAAGTTTTTTCCCTCCCACATCGCGACCCCACTTTTTCAATCCTGTCGGAATGGCACGCACGTCAAAAATGGTCCGGGTAAATTTTACCCAGATGTGGTAGTCTAGGGTTAATTGTTGTCAAGAATTTTATCAATAATTTCTTTAGTATTTCAAATACAAAATAGATTGAAATTGTATTTCAAATACTGTATTTTAAATACAAGTATTTGAAATATGCCCAGCCCTGAATGCGAGAACAAAGGTAATTGTACCTCTGCTTGTAATTCCTTAGTCCTTTGTATGATGAGTTTCAACAGCGGACGTAATTTATCAATTTGATTCTGCGTGTCATCTTGCTTCTGTCGCACGGATTCTTGTTGGGCTACCATTCGATCGATCTGATTTATTTTTTGTTTTAAAGTAGTAGCCACTATGTCCACGTATCTGCGACAGAGATATATAAACATTAAAGATCTCTTTGTAAAAAGAAAATATATTATGTTTAATTGACTATACCTTGAATAATGTTTGATATTATGTAAATGCTGAACATTGTTATGCAACATCTCGGAGAGAATAACTTGAACGTTATCCAGCATGTTCTGAGTGGTCTCTATGGTGGAAAGTTGCAGAATAGGTGAGGCATCCTGCATCTGACTGAAGCTGAGAAGATTGTTCCTGTCGTCGCCTTTGAATTCGTACAGACGTAACTTCATAAATGCCTCCAACTGTCGAAATACATATTTAGATAAAAATGCAGAGCTGTGTCAATTTCTTATGTGTATATAGTTTAAATGCAGGAAAGAAAAACCGGTTTTTTCAATTTTTCCGTAGATTTTTTTGGTTTCTTTTTCAAGGGGTAGAAAAATTCAATGGAAAATTTCACGTACAAATTCATAAAACATATTACATTTCACATTTGCAACACTTTAATTTACTTTTTAAATTTCTTAAATTTTATAAAAAGCATATGTATATTTATTGCTGATAATGTTAAATACGAAAGAAATAAAAAACAAATTATATAAGAATAAATAAAAAAAAACAATTAATGTATTTTTCAAATAAGATGTATGGCTGTTGACAATTATTAATAATCAAAACTCTTTAAAAATGCTTAATATAAACATTAACTTAAATTAATCTTTACACTTGTTAGAATTGCGTTTCCTATAAAACAGTTTATTTAATAATAAATAATCTTCACCTCAAGGAATATAGTATTCAAAAGTAAATATAAAAATTAATTCATTAATTTTTCATTATTAATTCCACCAAATTATACGAGGTGTATCATTTCAATAATATTATAAAATACGAGAGTTATAAGAATTATAAGCTTATATCTAATTTACACAAAAAATTACACATTTTAACGAGCAAATTAAAGTAAATTACATGAAGTCATTTACATTACTTTCTGAATCCCAATTAATATTTAATATAATGAAAAATATTAAAAATTAGATAGTATACCGTTTACACAGCAATTTTTCCCAAAAAAATCAATTTTTCAGAAAAAAATCGAAATTTTTCTGGTTTTTTTCCAGAAATTTGAAAAAAGCAATTTTTTAAACTATATATGTGTATATTTATATGTCATACCTCAAACAACTGGTTGATAAATTCCGATCTCGTTGTCGGATTGTCTAATATCGTATAAGCTTCAGACCCCTTAGCCACGCCACCTTCGTGACCATCTGCTTCCACAACTATACCCGACTCCTCTAAAGAGACATTACAATCTGCTTCCCCCGCGGTAGGTTGCTCCGCGCTCTCGTCTCCCCAATCGATATCGCCTCCTACGTCTAAACTAACTTCTTCGCCAAAATCAATCTCTCCATCCAGATCCAAGTTGCCGAAATCAATGGCCTGTTGAGAAGACTCATGATAATAATGCACAATCAAATTTTTTTTTAAATATCGCGAAAAAATCGTATTCATACATTGGCGTCCATACTAGGCCTCCCATTACTTTCATCTTCATCCGCTTTAATATTTAACGACGGCTCAATTATCGACACCGGTACTTCTCCGTAAGTATATTCAAACATCGTTGTGTTTCCTTTGTCTGTAAATAAAAAAAAATAATATAATAATTTGTCATGCGTACTTCTTATTCAAATATTGCCCAGTAAACGAGAATGGATTGAAATAGATTGAAAAAAAAATACTTCAACGTTCGCGAATGCGAACTTTTGAAAATTTTAATCCATTTCAATGTCTAATACCTTTGCATTCATTTATAGGAATTGCATGAAGCACATTTTCTATGCCATACAATCCAAAAAAAAATTTAGCAATAAAAAGTAAATCAATACCGCTTAATTCAAAATTCTAGGTAGAAAATGCAGTTTTTCAATCTAATTAAATTCAAAAAGTTTTTTCATGAAAATAAATCATGAATGTTATTCAATTAAAAATTGTGACTAGAAAATATATTGTTTCAATCCATCTAAATCCAAAAAAAATATTATATTATATTCGATTATGAAAAAATAGAAATGCATTCATTTCCACGGAGGTCAAATCCATTTCAATCTATAAATTAAAAAATTTTAATTCATTTTAATCCTTTCCCATTTAAATACTGGGTGATAAATTCTTGAAATAATGATTATGCAAACATACCAATGACATATTTAATCATCGACACGCAATCACTGTCGTATTGCTGGCCGAAGGTAAATTCGACAAATGCACTGTAAAACTCCACAACCTTGTCCAAGCTCTTCGTCTTCTCTGCCACCTTCTGATAAATTTCTGGCAATTCTTTCACCTTGTCCATTAACTCGCGTCTGACTGTACTATAACCAGTTATACCTAACTGTTTGCATAGCGCGTTGTACTCTGTATGTGCAATATTTTCAGATTTTTTATGTTCTGCTTCTTTCTTCTCCAATTCCTGCCGACACACAGTTTTACGTGCACTTATTATACGTACGATAAAATAAGTAAATAATATTACGATTAATATTACACATTGTAGATCAATTTACAATTAACGATTGCTCCAGCTTCTGTATCTGCTTCTTGATACTGGGAACTTCGTAATTGACATTTCTCATGAGCATTTGGGCGGCTTCGGCGAGATATACATTATCCTTTTCGTACAATCGCAAAATCTCCTGCCAATCTTTCATCCTTTGCGAGCCGTAACGCCCGAATAAATTTTTCGTGTCGGCTTCCGTCTCCTTCAAGATTTCTACGATTTTCACGCAGTAAAAGTAATTTATATCTGTAAAAAGGCAAAATGAAAACTCGGGAGTCTGCAATCATATGCTTGCTTAAAAATTATAGGATCAAACTGTAATGATTGATACTGCTTACATGCGCCGGACAACAATGAGGCAATGCCATCATGAGCAGGCATATTCTGTATCGCATTATTAATTTTCTGCCTGATGGTCAAAATGTTCGTATGCCAATCCTTCTTGCAGTGCCTCCGATTAATCAGCCAGTCCAATAACTTTCCAGCATTAATGTCGATCGGGATATCCTGTTCCTAAACAATTGTTTGCATGTAAAGATGATATGATTCAATAAAATGTAACAATAAAAAAGTAAAGGTATAATATTCAAATGTAAAAATAACATTGAAAACATATGAAATCCAATAAAAGATGTTTATTCCGGATTGTTTCGTGAGTAAAATTCTTTACACACGATTTCATATTCATGTTAAAAATTGATATTGTTGAAGATAATTGCATGCTTAACATAATGTGATTCACTTGTCTGCATACCATTAAATCAAATTTCAAAAATAACATATGTAATAATAACATTAAAAACATATGAAATCCGACAAAAGATGTTTACTCCGGATTGTTTCGTGAGTAAAATTCTTTACACACGATTTCATATTCATGTTAAAAATTGATATTATTGAAGATAATTGGATGCTTAACATAATGTGATTCACTTGTCTGCATACCGTTAAATCGAATTTCAAAAATAACATATGTAATAATAACATTAAAAACATATGAAATCCGACAAAAGATGTTTACTTCGGATTGTTTCATGAGTAAAATTGTTTACACACGATTTCATATTCACGTTCAAAATTGATATTGTTGAAAAGAATTGCGTACTTAACAATGTGATTCACTTGTCTGCATATTGTTAAATCGAATTCCAAAAATAACATATGTAATAATAACATTAAAAACATATGAAATCCGACAAAATATGTTTACTTCGGATTGTTTCGTAAGTAAAATTGTTTACACACGATTTCATATTCACGTTCAAAATTGATACTGTTGAAAAGAATTGCGTGCTTAACAATGTGATTCACTTGCCTGCATTTTGTTAAATCAAATCTCAAAAACTGTGTCTCCTTCACTACGATCGGAACGATTGGGAAAATAGGTTATAACAGCTGTTTCAGCGGCGACGTGTAAGCGTAATGTGACAGTGACAGACTCAACTGTCTACAGCACCGGCTGTCTCCTTAATTGAAAAGAGTGACACGCTTAATGTTTGATTTCTAGTAACGTAAATTAACTTTAATATCGGTTTAACTCAGTTTTCATTCTCTTCTAGTTCTAAAGATTAGAAAAAGATCGAAAGTTGAACTGAGATTAAAGTTACAATGGTAGAAATAGTTATATAACCTTATGGGGAGATTAAAGGCGCAAATTCACCGGTGAAATACATAGCGCGCGCGCGTGTGTGAGTTGTATGACTCTATTCCAATATCCCATCCCATCGTAGAACTTTTAATTCATATATTTTACACATAACATGTAAAACTGAGTGCACAATATGTGAGATACGCCAGGAACGAATTCAGGACTCTAAAACAATAAAAGGAGTTTGTTCACGTCCGAAGTCGCTTTGTTTTCCGAGTTATAATTATTTTTATACTCCAGCAATTTTTCATTCCGAGCTAACAACCAGCTCTGTTCGCAAAATCGATAATATAGTGGCTATTAAATGAGTCACAGAGGGTCTTGCTGAGAGTATCGCAATAACATATAATTTAGGGCTGCGTTCAGAAGCGTCAGTGTTTCCGAGTATTATGTTTTGTCCTCGAAATCCGAGTGTTCCCATGTAATATTTTAACCTTGTTCACCGAATTTCTTAAATAAGGTTAAAGTGATGACGTTTCCGATTGCAATCTATAAACACTTTCAATTGTTCAATTTTTTATTTTAATAATTACTTATACTTTGTCTTAATACAGTATATCTACGAATACACAGGTTTAGGCAACACTTTACACAATGATGAAATATTCGAGTCAAGAAATGACAGACATGCATCTAATGTATGGACTTGCTGAGGGCAATGCGTCAGAAGCTAGACGTCTGTATGCAGAAAGATTTCCCAATCGTGATTTACCAGATGCTAAGACTTTTCAAAGGATACATCAGCGCCTTCGGGAAACAGGATCATTTAAGAGGCAGTCTTCAGAATTCAGCACGAAAAATCTACTTTAAGCCCTTTTTATAAAGGTGAGTAGATTGACACAAAAATACAAAAATAGCTGTAACTTGAAAATAAGGCGATTTTGTACATATTTATATGAACTTTTTTGTTGTTTTAGAGTTCCACGTAAAATGTGGATATTGTAATGTATTTTATTGCAATACATATATGAAGTTTCTATATACATTTTGTAAACTTTTACTGTAATATTTATTAAAATTTAATTTATAAAAATTAAATAAAATGATTTTTCGTTAACATTCACAGTCACTGAAAAATATTTTTTGTCATAACTCTTTAACTGTACGATGGAAAAATATTTCTCATGAATGTTTTGTCAAATAATAAGATAATACTACTCCATTAAAATAATCTCTATAATAAAAAGATAAAAAATATTACTCCATTAAAATAATCTCTTGATATCTATTTGTCCTCTTACAGTGGCAGTATTTGATTTAAAAGGCTTCAATACAAATTGCAAAAAAATTTCCTCGCTACCTTTAATTTCAGAAGAAATATTTGTAACATTTAGTAAAAATTTAAAAAATTTCATTGTAATATTAATAAAAATTAAATAAAATGATTTTTCGTTAACATTCGTAGTCTTTAAATCACTGAAAAATATTTTTTGTCATAACTTTTTTAACTATACAATAAAAAAATGTTTCTTATGAATGTTTTGTCAAATAAGATAAAAAATACAAAAATATTACCCCATTAAAATAATCTCTTTTGATATCGTATTATTTGTCCTCTTTTAGTGGCAGCATTTGATTTTAAAAGGCTTCAACACAAACTGCAAAAAAATTTCCTCGTAACCTGTATAATTTGAAAAGAAATATTTGTAACATTTTATGTGATACATCCTGTATACCTATAAAATAGAAATAATAGAGATGACATTCATTCTTTTTCACATTGTCATTTTATAATAAGAATTATAATTTTACAATTTTTATTATCTTCAAATAGCCCTTTAAAATTGATAATTTAGAACTGTTATATATGCACAACCACTGCATATTTATTATAGTTCTAATTTTTTTTACAAATACTTTTGCCTAAATTAAAAATTCATTGAAATTGTAAGAATAAGATTCCTGAATGTTATAACTAGCTAATAATTAGTGTAGATGGTGCATGAACTTCCGGAGTAATTTAAAAACATGATTATGCAAGCAGAATATTGTGATGAATGTTAACGACTTCATTTATCCTATCTTTCATTCTACGTTTATCAAATAATACACCTGCGATAAAAAAACCACGCTTGACACACCTGCCATGTGTGAAACTGGGACGCTCGTAATTGTCGTCTGCCGGCACGGCATTTTCTTTCAACGCTGTATTATTATGAAGAATTAATAACGTTCGGAGCGAAGCAGAATTAAATCGAGGAGAAACAAGTAAATAATCAACTGCGTTTATTTAAGTAACTTCTCAACTAATGCCTACGATAAATAACGGAAGGCGCGACAAATAACGAGAGACGGGAAAAATTAATCAGATCGCTTGGCGATACGAGTAGACGTGATGTACACACAAGTATCTTTAATTTATTATGTTACACATTCACAGTAAGAAAAAAAACGTAGTCTCTCTTCAATGTCCATTATACTGTCCGTGTAGCCAGTATAAGTACAACTTGAGAGTGTCCATCGGGAAGGAGAGATGAACGACGAGTTCGTATCGCTTGCACTCGTCCTTCTGATCGCTCTGCGTTGTATCAGCACCCATGTTTTAAAATGTTCTCAGCCTCGGCATAAATTAATACTCGCGAACGATGTAACGCGCGTTTCATAGTATGTATATTTGGATCACCTCGTGCTTCTCTCGAACGACTTTTTTTGGATTCTAATCGCGGAATCCTCTCGAGAGCGATCCTTTCCTCGATTGTCGGAGAAGACTCGCGGCTGAAAGTTCCGTCACGGGGAGGCATTACGATGGCACTTTGATCAATGATGGAAAAAAAAAGGTATCGTCACGTGGACGATTCGATCATATACCTTGATCGCGAACGAGTTCTTCCTTTTCCGTTTTTTTATTTCGCTAACACACTTAATAACTTTGGGAAGGGCTTCGATCGGTGAAGAAGTTCTTCAGAATAAAAACCTGTCCCACGGCGATGATCAATATGCAAACAGTCTCCATTACCGACCACCAGAGCACACGCTCGTTGAGCTCCTCCGCACGTTTGCGACCCTGAGCCTCACGCAGACGGTGATGCGTCTGATAGTCCAGGATACTGATTAGATTTTTGTGCACTTCTTGCGCGGAAGACTCCATCTGTAAAAAAGAAAGAAGAGACGCATCAGGTATTGCCAGTTTTCATTTATCATGATGTCCAGCGATATTTGGCTAGCCAATTCAAGAATGATTCCAAGTAAAAGTCCCGGTTTTTCCAGCTCGATTAATTTTCATTAATTAATTTTTATTGATTTGCGCAATATTATATGTTTTGTATTCAAATTAGGATTCTAAATGACGAATCAATTAAAACAAATTTAGAACAATATTATTCGTTGCTTTATCAATTGCTTGCAATATTGCATCTTTAAAGGAGAGCTTATACAACCATAAACTTTTCCAAAAACGACACTACCGATGTTATCGACAAAGTTCCTGCACACTCGCAAGAAATATTTCTTATTTCTTTCTTTTTTACGATCCAATTTTTGTAGAATAAAAGAACAACAAAAATTTCAGGTCAATCCCGAAATTTCAAGAATTTTCCAGGAATTTTCCAGGACACATTAAATTCAAAAATAATTCCAGGATTCAAGGACATTCAAGAACCTCTGGACCTGTTTATATAGGGTTGCCACAAATTCTTCATTCTAAAATTCCATGACTTCTCCCTAACTTCCAGACAAAATTTCATGATTTTCTCTGACTTTCAATATTAAAAATTTTTTTTGTATATTTGTTTGATTTAAAAACTATTTGGAAACCGTTAAATATTTTGTTGAAAGAGCAATTTAACATAGCAATGTAAATTACTAGTATTGTTGACATTGCTTGCAATTGTTAAATTGTTAGTATTCTTTTATCTTGTTCTTTTATATATGCACACAATTCTTTTCCTCTGCTTATAATACAGGGCTTATAATACATGTAAATATAGATTCTTTTTGAAGAAAAACTAAATAAATCCTGTTTATTGGAATCTCCGACTTGCTATTATTCAAAAATTTACAAACTTGAAAGAAGAATGACAAAAATATGAAGTCAATTTTAATTTTATTAACTTGTTCACAAGTGACACAAGAAACTTACAAGTATAAAAAAAACAGTTTTAAATAAATTTTAAGTTCCAATAAAAAGTAGACAAGCTGAAAAATAATGCTAATAATTCTAATGCCTATTTTAAACCTCTGTTAAAAAGAGAGTTTACATTCTAGAGCATTCGAGAGCTAACAAAAGTGTGCGATATACTCATATTAAACTTCTTTAAAGCTAAGAATTTCAATTTTCCAGAAAATTTTGTAAAATTTCCAGACTTTTCCCTGATTTCCAGTTTTGTGGCAACTCTGATGTAACACTATAGAAGGTATTGTTGCAATTTACCTGAGTCATGACTGTGACATGTTCTCCAAGACCAGGAAGCGGCAGTTCGTCGCCGACTTGGAAATCCATGTACACCAGTTTGTGCGAATATGTAGAAAACTCGTTGCTGAAGCACGCCTTATATATTCCTGACATAGTTGGTATAAAAGAGTGCGAGTCGAACTGTGTTTTCACTTGGCTATAGATAATTTCCTTATTTGGAGCTTCTAAAGTTACATCTACATCGTACTGGCCACCTGTAACCACCTGAAAAGTATAAAAGCACGTTACTCGTCACATATACAAATTATTTTAAAAGCTGCACAGTAGTCTACTAGTACATAAAAAATATCCACAAATCAAGGAAATAACTTCTAAACTGCTAAAGGAAAGTTGTGGTACCAATAAAAATATTAACTATTAACAAAATGTCTTTAAAAAGAATCACTTGCATAAAGGCATATTCAGATTCTCACCCAAGTGCCAGGTATCATTTTATTCTTGTTCATTGAATAAACAAGGATAAAATGATACCCAGGTGAACCCAGGTGGGGAATCTGTACGCATTCTAAAACGCATTTGTATCAACAATATCTCTTCCTTCTTTCTTATTGTACAATACAGAAAAGTGCAGCTAAAATGGGCCTATACTAATCAAATAAAATTTTATACTTTTGCCCGTTCTGTGAGTACAATTTTAAAAGAACATTGGATATGTTGTACATCCAGGAGCGCTCAGTGAACGGTTACACTCCTGGATGTACCTATTAATCTCATTATCCGTTATCGTTATGTTTTTGTTAATCGCGTTACAAGTCAGTCGCTCCTTTGCCCGCGTTCTTTCTCATTCGCTCATTCAACTTTGGAGCTAGCCAGGCGGACAAAATGCAGCATACTGCGCCGCGAGCTTTGACCTCGAGGATGCGCCGCGCCGTGAGCGACGTGTCACCGTGACGCGAGCAATTCGCAGAGAGCGGGTTATCGGGAGGCATGACATTTGACGTTTGGCGTTGCGCACCTGAAATTCCAGCGTGGACGAGACGTTCTTCTCGATCTCTTGGTAAAAACACTCCTTAGCATTGTCGGCCAGTTCAAAGGTTAGCTCGACGCCGCCCGTGAGTAGGAGCGCGCCGAGCAGCGAGACGAGCAACAGCCAAACCGACCAGCAATCCATTTCTATTGTTGTTGTTGTTGTTGTTTTTCCGTTTGTTCGTCGACGACGCTCACGCGGCAGTCGCGTCACTGATCCGCGCGCATTTAAGATTTTCCTCGAGACGTGAGAAAATACGAGCGAGAAAGCGCGCGCGACCGCTCACACCTTTTTTCCCGGCGGCACGGCACCCCCTGACCGCTGACGAACTCCCGCAAACGAGCTATTTTAACGTGGCCGGATGCCAGCCGTGCGCGCGCGCGCGCGCGCGCGCGATGCACGTAACCACGTTCGATACGCGTGGCGCGCAGCTGCGGAAGTGGCTACGTTCACGGTCGGACGTCACCATATTGTGCTGCGTTCAGAAACTCCGATCAAGTGCATCTAGATATCGTTTTATCCCTGTTTGACATTCGGTGAATAACAAGGATAAAATGACATATCGTGGATTCCTGAACACACTCCTGACGTTCCTCGAGTTCGCGAGTCGTGTTTAAACTCATATTTGTCTACTATTGAATTGTATAATATTGAGTTCGGTCCAAATTGGCACAAAGCGTATCTATACAAGGTTGAATACTTTTTTTCATCACGCTCATGAATTACTTATTGATAGATTACCCAGCATATGAAAACAAATCCAAATAAATTGAAAATTGCAGTTCATTTTAATTTATCCGAATTGGCGCTATTTAGAGTCCGGAGATGAATTCATGTTTCTATTATATTATTTTTTGATTTAAATGGAATCAGGGTTGGGTAAGTTAATTTTTTTTTTAACTAAGTTAAGTTAAAGTTAACAGTCTGAAAATTTAATTTAGTTAAGATACAAGTTAGTCCATAATAAAATTAATTAAGTTAAAAGTTAAGTTAATAAAAAAAAATGAATAATTGAATAATTGAAAAGTTAAAGTTAAATTTTTTCATTTTATATAATTTTAGGAATT